GCTATGGGGTAGAGATGAGGGGGCCAAAGGTGCAATTACACCCTCATTTCTTGAGTGCTGAATAATGAGGTGCTTTGCCTTTTTGGACAAGATACCCACTTTCCAGGGCTGTGCCAGGAATTACTGAGCTTCTCCTCTGGCTGCCTCTCACCAGCTCTGTCCTGCACCATACCCTCTGGCCCCAACTTTCTCCCCCGGGGCCATCTGATTCCCTTATGCTCATTTCCCAGGTGAGAATATCAAAGTAGGGGCTGTGCTGGAGCTGATGGCCGAGAGCAGCTGCTGGTTGGGTTTTCAGAGAACTGAGACCTTAGCTGGGCACAGCGGTGGGGAGATGGAGAAGAAAGGAGGGGGACAGCATGGACAGCCTGGAGTGCTCAGTTTCTGGGTCATTGGTCTTGGGGAATTCCCCAATGCCCAGAGAGCTGCTTACCTGGTGACTAACTGCTACTGACTGCCCACACAGGATGCCTGACTGTCAGGGTACCTCCCTGCCACCTTCTACCAATGGTCACTGCCATGCTGCCCTCTACCCTGAGTTCCCTGGGGTTTGGGAAAAAGACAGACAGACAGGCTGGCCCCGCCCCCGCACCCCCTGGGGCTCCACAGGGGGCGGCTGGTGATTCAAGCCCCTCTGAGCTGAGCTGTGTCTCGTTTCTTTTCAGATGGGGCCTGGGGGGTGAATCAGATCCTGGGGGCGGTGAGGTCAGGCCAGCCACTGTCCTCAGCTCAGGCCTGGGGGGTGCTCAGGGGCCAGGATGGGACACGGGGGGGGGGGGTGAGCTCTGCCATGTCAGTCCCACATAGAACCATCTAATTTTTCTGAGGCACCCCTGAAGCTGGAGGCTATAAGGGTGTCTTGCCTCCGTTATCCATCAGAAGGGGGTGGGTCTCTCTCCTGCCCAGCTTTCCCCTCTCAGTCCTGAAACGCACCCAAGCTTTCTCATTTGTTAAATGGGGACAAGAACCCCTATTTCACAGAAAGGTGGTGAGGACCAATGCTGATGTGTAGAGGGCTTGCTGGGTGCCCAGAACTGCACTGAGCCTTGAGCCCTCGCAGCAAATTCATGACGTAGGTAGCATAATTCCCATTTTATAGATGAAGAAACTGAGACCAGAAGGTGATCCCTTCCTCAAAGTCACCTAGCTCGTAACTGACAGAGCCAAACCTCCAGCTCAGCTCTGACTGAGGCCGAAGTCCATGCTTCAAACCACCAGACTCCACACCTTCTCTCCACAATAGATTCGGCACAGACAGGTCTTGGAAATTATAAAGTGTTTTTTAAAAGCACTTAGCATGCCCTGGCCAGGCAGCTCAGTTGTTTAGAGCATCAAACCGATATGCCAAGGTTGTGGGTTCAATCCCTGGTCAGGGCACATACTAGAATCAACCAACAAGTGCATAAATAGGGGGAACAACAAACCTATCTCTCTCTCTCTCTCTCTTTCTTTTCCCCCTTTCTCTCTCTAAAATCAATAAAAACAAAACAAAAAACTCCGGTGTAACCCTGAGACAGGTGCTGTCAAGAGTACGAATGAGATTCTCACCTGGCAGGCGAGTACCACAATCATGAAGGTGCTTTCCCCAGGTGTGTTGACTCCGGGTGTGCTGACCCCTGTGATTTCCCCAAGTGTGGGAAACTCGGTTGCATAACTTATTGTAGTGGGCGACTGTATTCACACTCTCCCCTATACAAAAAAGAAAAGAAAGTACAAATGAGTGTTATACCCCATCCAGGTCCTCAAAGAGCGGAGAATAAGATCTGTCCCCACTTGAAAGGACAGTGAGCGGTGCTCGGCAAACCCAGCCAGCCTGGGCCCTGGGAGGCAGCCTGGAAGAATGGCCTTAGTGCCCCTGGTTGCCCTCGCAGCGTGAGGTGCTGCTGGCACTGCTGTGGCCTGCAAGCCACAGGCCTGGGTTCCAGACCCCTCTCTACTGTTAACTCTCTCTGCAGCCCTGGGCAAGTGCCTCGCCTCTCTGAGCCTCAGTTTCCCCACCTGAAAAAATAAAACATCTGTGATATTCTAGGAGAGGCTTGTGGGTGAGAATCAGCAGAAAAGGAGGGACTGGGTGGTGGCATGCACCGAAGTGTGTAGGAGAAAATCCTGCAGGGGTTCTGGGAAGGCCCCTGGCTGGTGCAGAGGCTCACTATCTAGAGAGACCAGATGAGCAAATGGATGGTGCCCTGTAGATGGCCACCCAGGGCCCTGGCTCAGTAACCCCCTGCCCAGGCTGAGGGGGCCCCATGTGGATCCTGACTGTCCCCCTCACCCTGAGGCCATTCAAATCCCCAGCAGGCCCAGTGTGCAGGAACAGGACAGGCTGGGGATGAGGTCACAGCTGGAAGGGGCTGGGCTGGGGCTGCCACTCCAGGGTGGGGCTTAGGGTCACGACCCTGGGAGCAGGCAGCCAAGAAGGGAGGATGCCTTCCGTGAGGAAGCTGGAGAAAACACATACACACACAGCAGTGTAGGGAGGGAGGGAAGAAAACAAACTCCAGGAGACCAAAGCTGGCCTGGAGCTGGGCCTGGGCTGCCGATTCCTGGGGACCAACGCCACGTTGCAGGCAGCTCACAGCCTGGCGTCTCCGAGACCCTGTCCAGCTCTGCCCCCAGAGGCCCAGCGCAGGTGGCGCCTGGACATGGACAGGAGAGGGAGGCTGGGCCTGAGGTGCCGAGAGGCCCACAGCACTTGGGGAGCACGGACCAAGTCAGGTACCACGAGAGGGGAAACTGAGGCACAGGAGGGGCCAGTTAGGACAGGGATTTAGTGTCTCCTAGTCTCTGCCCCCACTTCCTGTTTCCTGTGGGGTAGGGCTGAGACTACAGTGATTGGGGGTGATTATAGGGCTGATCGGGCTGGGGAAACAGAGGGCAGTGCAAGGCCCTAGAAGTACACATGGAAGGAGGCAGGGGAGACCGGGCCAGGACAGCGGTGGGGCAGGGGGGCAGGCAACCCCAGGAGAATCAGGACACCTAGTGAGGGACTCAGGCAGGGAAAAAAGGGATCCCTAGATAGGGCACAGTGGGACACTGGTCAAATGGATTTGAGATCCATGTCAAAAAAACCAAGCTGAGTCAGGTGACAGGGGTCCGAGAGATGTGGGGGTGGGGCTGGAGGCTGATCCAGAGTTTATGTGCTCCAAGTGTTCAGGTCATTGTGCAAGAGACGCTGGCGGTGTGGGGGATAGTGGGAAGAGGGAGGTGAGCTGGGATGTTCTGGGTCATGGAGTTGCTTGAGCCAGGCTGGGGTAGGTGGGCATCCTGGAGATGTTTGCTGACCACAGAGCAGGTGTATGGGAAGGGCAAGTACCAGGTGGGGTCTTCTATGCCCCCACCCCCAAGGAAGACACAAGGTGTGGGGGGCAGGGAAGAGGAAGGAGAGCTGGACTGGGTGCTACCAGCCTACTCCCTTCTGGGAAGTGCCAGGTGAGATTGGCAGTTTTATTGCCCCACATCCCAGGTCCCCAGAGCATGGGGGAAGTGAGTCTGGATGGGGCAGGGTGTGTGTGTGTGCTCGAGAGGAGCGGGAGGACAGCAGCAGGCACTAGGACCCGTCCTGGCATGATGAGGGAGGAACGCCTGGCTGAGCAGGTCTGGGATATGGCCAGAAGCAGGAGTCGGGGGCATGCATGGAGGATGGGGGAGAGGAGGGAAGGGGGTATTAGGGGCCAGGGAAAGGCTGTGGAGCTTCCAGGCCTTGGAAAACCAACTCTCCCACCTTGTTTTCTGGTTAGGGTCAAGTGGGAGGGCTGTGGCAGGGTCTCCAGGAGAATGAGACATCTCCTGGGACATGGGGTGTCCCTGGCAATGAATGGGTCAGTGTGGCCCCTGAGATCTGTTCACTGACCAGCACTTCCCCACCTCATTTTTTTAAAATGCTCTTTATAGGGTTGGAGTCCCTGTGCTCATTTTGCCCTGGTCCCCACCACTTGTTTGGGAATCCACGTAGAATTTGTGACCCTGCCTTAGAAACTCTAGAAACACCTTTTGGGGGCCACCATCATTCTCCGAGGTTCCCAAGGAGCTTCCAAAGCAGGTCTGGGAGGGGCAAACTATTCCTGTTCTCCCCAGCCATCCCTCTGCATCCTGAGTGGGAAACCTAGGTTCGATTTGCCAAGTCCTTCTAGCTCTCTGCTTTGTGGCCTTCTAGAATGGAAATGTCAGACTACAGTCCCCTGAAAGGGGAGGTGAAGTCACAAAGAGTTTAGGTAAACTCCAGACCCACAACACCTTACCAGAAACTCCTCCCCAGGTTGGCCCCAAATAACCCAGTCACAGCAATCTCTCACCACCCCCCACCCCTACCCCCATCTTCTCAGCCCTTTCCCCAGCCTCACAGGTACCTACGGGTAGCACCAAAAGCTCGCTAATGGTGGTCAGGAGGCCTGCCCTTGTGGGATCCTGGACAACTGTTACCTTTGGAGCTCCACTTTGCCCAGTGGCAAGGGGCAGGTTGAAGGAGGCTACCTATGAGGTGGCTTCCAGCGCCCACGTTCAGTTTCGCTTTATTACTGTCTAAAGTTCAGGTTGGGTCCCAGCCCCTCTTCCTGGAGCCTCCTTCTCAGCCAAGCCCCAGCCTGCCTCCTGTTCACTGCCCCACCCCCCCCCCAAGCCCCCAATCAGGGGGCCACAGGTGCCAGCCTCCATCTGCTTGCTTAGTCTCAAGCCACCTCCCCAAACCCAGGTGAGTCAGGGTTGTCTGGGGCATCCACTACTGGGGACCCTGATGACTCGGCCTGGGGACCCTCCTCCCCCTCCTCATCTTCAGGGTAAGCCACTCAGGAAAACCACAGGGTGTTTTGTTGAAGAGTTCATTATAATTTTATCAATCAAATTCTTAGAAGAGGGAAAAAGTTTGCTCTCCCCACCCTCCCCCCTCACCCCCCCTTTCACTCTCACTTTTCTTCCATTCATAATTTCCTATGATGCACCTCAAACAACTTCCTGGACAGGGATCCCTGCTAAATATAGCCGTTTCTCTCTCTGTCTTACAACACAGGCTCCAGTATATAAATCAGGCAAATTCCCCATTTGAGCATGAACCTCTGAAAACTGCCGGCATCTAAGGTCTCCTCCAAGGCCCTCTGGAGTGCAGCCCATAATGAAGGTCTTGGCAACAGGTAAATCCACCCGCCCCGCGCTGGCTTCCGCGCCCCGCAGCGAGCGCAGCGGCAACTTGGGGCACTTGGCGATCGCGAACGGGACACCCACCCGCCGCAGACACACGGACGCTTGGGGCGCCCGCGTAGCTAGCCAGCCGCTGGAGGCGCTGGGTGACGGCCCGGGGCGAGCGCAGGCACATGGTCCCAGCACCGCGCGCCTAGCCCGCCCGCCCAGGGGCCAGCAGGTTGGCGGGCAAGAGGGGCCCCTTAGTCTTCCTCCACCTCCTGCTCCTCCTCCTCCTCAGTCCTGCCACTCTCCCGTGCTGCCCTTCCTGCTCTGCTGTCTCCTGGATTTACCCTCCCTCTTTTCTTTCTTTCTTTCCGCTTTCTCTTTTCCAACCGTGTCCCGGGCTGCTCCCTGGGAGGGGCGCCGGCCGCCGAGCAGCTTGCAAACTCTGGCTGGGACGGGAGCAGGTGCCGCCTCCATCTGCTAGTACCTGAAAAGCTGCGGTCTGTGCTAGGTGAGCTGGGGGCGTGGAGGGGCCCCCCCACCCATCCCCCGGACTCGGCATTGCCTGGGGATGCTGGGAGAAACAGGATACCCCGAAAAGTGAACGTGAGGCTGCCACTGTCCCAGCAGGGGGAATCCGAGCAGGAAGCTCCTGCACCTCCCCTCTCCCCAGCCTCAGGGGTTCCCCAGCCTCACTAGTCTGCCGACCCCATCCCCTGCCACTGAGCCACCTGGGAAGGCCTCTTTGAGGGGACTCAAGAGTGGAGGGGGGAAAGTGGGCACCCTAGGGGAGGGGCGATCCAGGACAGGCCCCAGCAGCTCCCAGCACGCCGGTCACCTTTCACTTTCCTTCCCTCCCACCTGTCTGCCTACAACCTTTCCCTTTTCTCTGTTGCACCATTTCCTCTTCTTCCCTAAGGCTCTGGGGGCCTGTGGGACCCCTGGATTCTCCTTGTCCTAACCCAGGGCCTGGGGCAAGGAGTTGTAGAAGGGGGGGGGGAGGCGCGTGGAGATGAGGAGCTGTGCAGAGCTGGATGACAGAAAGTTTTGAAGGATGATTTGGGGATGGATGGGGAAGCAGAGCCACAGAACTGGATGGAGTTGAGGGTCCTAGGAGGGGAGTGGCCACATTTAGAGAAGGATAGAGGTAGAAGAAATGAGGGGGGAGAGACAGAATTAGGGGACAAATGGCCCAGGGAGCCAGAATCAGGTGACAGGTTTGGGAGGGATAAGTGGGTCAGCAGAAGACCTATAAAACAATGCGTAGGAATCGGACCATCCAACAGATGGGAAAAGAGGGGCTTTTTTTTCTTTCTTTTTTTCAGACCCCCTGGGCCGGGGTGGGGGGGGCACTGTGCCTTCCAACCAGAGGGCCAGGAAGCCTTGGGGGCTTTTGCTTTCCTGAGGAAAAGGGCTGGATAGTTGGTGTCATTCTGGACCCAGCTTCCAACTGGTGAGAACAGCTCATGTCCTGCCTTTTTGCTCCCTTTTTCAGGAAAAAGCAGAGAGAGAAATAAGAAGGTGGAAAGAAGCAAAGATAGAGAGTTCGAGATCTGGAGAGAGGGAGACAGAGGCAAACAGATGCAGTCACATGGTGAAAATTAGAAACAGCCAGGCCAGATGAAGATAGAGCTGGAGGCTGAGAGGGGACATTGGTGTCTCAGGAGAGATGAGGATCATTGTCTGTATGAGCCTTCTTGCCCCTCCCCACCTTCCTGCTCATGACTTCTTCTTGCCTCTTCCCAGGAGTCGTGCCCCTGCTGCTGGTTCTGCACTGGAAACACGGGGCGGGGAGCCCCCTTCCCATCACTCCTGTCAACGCCACCTGTGTCACACGCCACCCATGTCACAGCAACCTCATGAACCAGATCAGGAGCCAACTGGCACAACTCAACAGCAGTGCCAACGCCCTCTTCATTCTCTATGTAAGTCACCCCCCAGCTACCGAGGAAGGAGGGAGAGTGGAGGGGTGTTGGTTGCACTGACCTGGGCTGGCAGGGCTGGTTAGGGAAGGGACCCTTTTGTAGCTGGAAGGAGAGAATGAGGAGGGGACTTGGTTGAACCATGCCAGACTCTCACAGCTTCTGCCCCACCCCCCTAGCCCAGGCCTGGAGACTGGGAGTCACTTTCCCAGGGTGCCCAGTTAAGTAGGGCAGAGTTGGGGGGAGATGGGAGTTCTCACCACATGGAGCCTGAGGCCAATGAGAGACAAAGGAGAAAGAGGTGGCGAGGTGGATGGGGAGGTGCAGCTGGGAGAGAGAGTGACTGTGGGTATCTAGGGGTGCAGAACCTCCCAGAAGGAAGGTGAGTAGAGTGGGTGAAAGGGCAAGTGTGTGGTGCACCTGCTCTAGGTGAGAGAGGGCATTTTCCTCTCTGTCCCTGTTATGGTCCTGATGATGATGATGATGATGATGATGATGATATGCCTTTCATGATATAGGCCTTGATTCTTTACCAAATACATTCACACCCATGATTACTTCTGGCTTTCATCCTGAGATACCTACAGGACAATTAGTTGGGTCCCTCTGCCATAGGTGGGAAACTGAGACCTGAGAGTTCTCCCAGAGGGTTGGTAACAGGGCTGGAACACCTGTCCCTGGCTCTCTTGTCACGTCCCCTCTATCCCTCTTCTCCTCAGTACACAGCCCAGGGGGAGCCATTCCCCAACAACCTGGACAAGCTGTGTGGCCCCAACGTCACAGACTTCCCTCCCTTCCATGCCAATGGCACGGAGAAGGCCCGGCTGGTGGAGCTGTACCGCATCATCGCCTACCTGGGCGCCTCCCTAGGCAACATCACACGGGATCAGAAGACCCTCAATCCCAACGCCGTCAGCCTCCACAGCAAGCTGAACACCACCTCGGACATCATGCGGGGCCTCCTCAGCAACGTGCACTGCCGCCTGTGCAGCAAGTACCACGTGGCCCACGTGGAGGTGGCCTATGGCCCCGACACATCGGACAAGGATGTCTTCCAGAAGAAGAAGCTGGGCTGTCAGCTCCTGGGGAAGTATAAGCAGGTCATCGCCATGCTGGCCCAGGCCTTCTAGACAGGAGGTCTTGAAGCATGCGGCAGCCCAGGACCTGAGACTCAGGTGGCTCTCAAACTGCGGCCAGGGCCCAGAGCATCGCCAACCCCAAGTGCCGTCTGCTGGCAGACCCTGAGGGGTTCCTGGCCAGTCCCCTCCCCTCCAGGGAGGACTGGGATGAAACCGAGCAGAGTCGAAACTCCCATAGGCAGGGCCTATATACAGCACCAACTGGAAGAAGGTGCCCCTTCTTCTGGCACACTCCAACCAGGCACCAGGGTGTAAGGCTGGTGAGGGGAATGTGGGCTGGACTTCTGCCCCCACTTGTACCAGCCAGGGGCTTTGTGACCAAACCGAACAAGTTATCTCTGGTGACCCTGGCCACAGGGCAAGACAGCAGGGGTCGGGGGGATTGCCCGACCCCCAGCAGAATGATCACCATCAGTGCCTTTGCAGCCCCTTCGGTAGACTTGGGAAGGTTTGGTTGGGGCAGGCCAGAGGCGCTGGGAGCCCGAAGAACTCCTTGGCCTCTGTGAGTGTGGTGAGTGGAAGTTAGAGACAGGAGCTCCGATTTGAGATGTTACCTTCTCTTGAACGTGATTGGAGCGCTCAGGCCTAGGAACTGTTAGGCAGAAGGTACCAGAAGGAGGTTACTGGTGTTCAGGTTCCTGGGAAGGCAGAGAAGCCACCTTCAGGCCCAGGAAGGAAGATGCTGGAAGGAAGAGAGGCCTTGAAAGCCTTGATGGGCTCTCTTTCCTCTTTCCTGCAGCCCAGGATGGCCAGGCTCTGGTGGCTGGACCTGGAGGTGGAGCATGTGGAGGTGGGCAGGTGGCAAGGTCAGGTGAGGAGGTTCTGAGGGGACCCAGGGTCTTCCGTCTGGGTGAAGATCTATAAAGGAGGGGATGTAAGGAGTAGTTCAGAGTGGCAGCTCACACCCGAGGCCTATGGTGGCCCCATGAGGTCGCACAAAGGTACTTGAGGGAGACAGAGGCCACCTTTGGTCCCCAGAGCAAGGGGACAGCAGAACTTGAGGTCAGGGTCTCAGGGAAGCCTGAGATCCAAGAGTGCTGTGTGTCTGACCCAGCACAATTGTCTATTTATTATGATGTCCTATTTATATTAACTTATTGGTGCTTTAAATGGCAAAATTAATTTCCCTTTCCGTGTTCTCTACCCAATAGAAATAATATGGTGGCTCCTTCTTTAGGAGCCAGGGCCAGGCCCAGGCTTTAGCAGGGCTAAATCGAAGTCTGGAAATCGAAGATGTTACAAGTAGGATAAGCCTTGTGGGTGAAGCTCAGAGAAAGGTCAGAATCTGAGAGAACTGGTCAGCTTGGATGGGAGGGCAGGGGACTCAGCGCCATCCCTCCATCCCAACTGTGACTTGCTCTGGGTGTATCAGGATCCTGGCTGCAAGGCATGCTGGGGCGCCCTGTGGAGTGGCTGGAGGGGGTGCTTTCCCCAGGTCGCCATGTTGCTTGGCTCCAGGGCGGTCATTCAACACTGTGTTCTCTGGGTGCCCCTGGAATTGTGCTGAGAGGGGCAGTGAGCCGGGTGGCTCACCCTGTTACTGCTTCCTTGTACCCACGCTGCCTGCCTCTAGACTAGCAGTGGAGGGGCCCTGGAACAGTCCTGACCCAGCACCCAGCATGCTCGCACACAGCAGGGAGGCGCCTTCTCTGGTGGCCTGAACACCCACAGAGGGCGAGAGGGCCCGGCTGGACCTCAGGAAGCTGGGGCAGTGCAGGGAGGAGCCCCCTGCTCTGGAGGACAAGGAGGCCCTGGGATATGGACCAGGAAGTTGTGGTCCCTCCTGCCTCACCTCCCCCCATGCCTCCACCCATGTCTGGGCTCCCAGGCAGGGAACCTGATCTTTTCCTTTGTGCTGGGGCCAGGCTAGTGGAGAAACGCCCTCCAGTCTGGGAGCAGGGGAGGAGGGCTCAGAGCCGGGGCAGCTGCTAAGAGCAGTGTTCTGGCTTCCTCTCAAACCCTGAGTGGGCTGCTGTCCGAGCAGTTCAGCCAATGCAATTATGGTACTTTGCACTCACTTTGCACCTCTCTCTGTCTGCTCTAAGTACTTTATCCACACCCACTGCAAGGCAGGTGAACAGGCAGCAGGCAGGCCCTGAGGCCTGGGGTGGGGGTAGGGGGTGGAGCTGGGAGTTGTCTGTCCCGCTGGCAAGATCACTGATGTAAGGGGGGCGGCAGAGGAGACCATGGAGGTCAGATGTTTTCTGATGGGCGGATGGTCCGAAGGGTCGGGATCTCAGCCTGCTGCCTGCTCCCACCTCTCTGCTCTTTGGTGAACGTGGTTCAGAAGGCTTGGAGCAGACTGGGTTCCCCATGCCAGGCCAACCTGGGCAGCCTCTGAGGCTCGAGGACCAAGAAAATCTCCTCTCCTGACTCCCCATGCTCTGCCTTTGCAGAGCAGGAAACTGTCCTTTCCCTCATTGTTCATATGCTGGTGTTGACCCTGGGTTACTGCTGGGCCCAGGAGAGGGAAGAGGACAGTCATTTTGCAGTTGATTGAAAGAGGAGTATTGGGGACCTTATTTATTTAAAAAAATTTAAATGAAAAGCACCGCTAGTTTATTTGTCTCTCCTCCTTATTGTTATCCCCCCTCTTGTCCCCAAGGAGGGGACATCCCCCCAACAGAAGCAGTCCAGCTCTGCCTGGACGGTTCTCTGGAATAGACACAGTGTGTGGGGTTGGAGCCTGGATCCAGCGAGAAGTTAATTTCCTTTCAGATGGTACAGATGTTTCTACCTTTGGATCACCCCCAGTCACCACACATCCCAGCACCTAGGCTTCCCCCCACCCACATGCTAGCCCTGTGCTCCGCGCGTCCTCCCATCTTTTCCTCCTTCCTTTCTACTGGAAAGGACTTGGCCTTGGGGACAAATTCCTCTTTGATGAATGTACCCTGTGGGAATGTTTCATACTGACAGAATTATTTTTATTTATTCAATGTCGTATTTAAAATATTTATTTTTTTATACTGAAGGAATCCCTTTTTTTTTTTTTTTTTTAAGAAAAAAAGAGAAATTAATAAAGAATCTGCTCTTGGCAAGCTCTCCAGAGTGTACTGATGTGGGGAGTTAGGGCTGGAGGGTCTGGGAAGGTCTCTGTCCTGGACACCCCGTCAAGTGGGGCTCTGTTCAGTAAAGGGCCGGGGGTGGGAAAATGGGGCACCTCGCCCTGGCTGGTTTGGCTCAGCGGTTAGAGCGTCGGCCTGCGGTCCTGAGAGACCCGGGTTCGGTTCCCGCTAAGGGCATGTACCTTAGCTGCAGTTTGTCCCCGGCCCTGGTTGGGTCGTGTGGGTGGTGACCACTCGATGTGTTCCTTTCACGTCGATGTTTCTCTCTCTCTCTCTCCCTCCTACTCTATCTGAACAAAAAATGGAAAAAATGTCCTCGGGTGAGGATAAAAAAAGAAAAGAAAAGGAAATGGGGCCCCTCCACCTGGTAAGAGTGCCAGCGTGGGCAAGGGAGGGATGAACTGCCCAAGAGTGGGAAGGTGTATCAGTTGATGTCTTAGCGCCTTCATTCCCAGCCCTTCACGTACCTCTTACTGTAGTCCCACGGGTTCCCCCAGAGTCATCATCCTCATTAAACGGAGGGGAAAACTGAGGCTCAGAGAGATGAAGCGCTTGCCCAGGATTACACTGCAAGGTGTTTAGGGCCATCCCTCTAGCTCCAGATCTCATGACCTTTCCCTACATGGAACTTCAGGGACCGAGAAGATGCCAGCTGCCAAGGCCTCTGTCCTCAAGGAGTGGACCATTGACCATTTGCAGGGAAATAAAGGAAGCGGGCGTGAATGACCGGAGCAGGAGGTTCAAGGTTCCTGTCTGGAATCACGCAGGATGCTGGGGCCAAAACCGGGCCTTTTCATCAGGCTCTTCTGTGCCTGAGCAGCTCTCATGGGGGACACTGCCGTCCTTTCTCCTATATCACACCTGGGACCACTGCAATCATCTTCCCAACCTCCGGGACCCCCTTTCTTGGGGAACAAGAGAGTTTGAAACTGAATGACCACAGACACGGGGGCTCTGGAGCATCCCAATGTATCTTCATTGTACTTTGCTCTAGGATTTGGGTCTGGGCTCCTCCAGCTGAGATTCATTTGGGGACCTGGGCAGTTTCTCTGACAGTCACCTACTTGCTTGTTCATGAATGTTTATAACAGGTCCTGTGTTGAGTTCCAAAAGTGAATAGGCACAGTGCATACCTTCTGGAAGCTCACAGGCTAGTGGGGACAATGAATGAGCACATCTGAGGTGATGTGAGTGATGGAAGAGGCACATAAAGGTGAGCCCTGGCCGGTTTGGCTCAGCAGTTAGAGTGTCAGCTCATGGACTAAAGAGTCATGGGTTCAATTCTGGTCAAGGGCACATACCTCAATTTTGGTTCGATCCCCGGCCCTAGTTGAGGCAACTGATCGATATGTTGATGTGTCTCTCTCACATGGATGTTATTCCCTCTCTCCCCCTCCCACTCTATCTGAAAGTCAATGGAAAACTATCCACAGGTGAGGATTAAAAAAAAGAAAAAAGATGCCAAGGTGAAGGTGGAGAGATCACTCACTGCTCTAGCTATCAGCAGGGGACTCAGGACAGGGGTCTCTCTGCTTTCTGTGCAATGACAGGGCCACATTGGGCGACCTTGACCTCACCTGGGAGCTGACCAGAAATGCAGAATCTTGCCCCCACGCCCATCATTCCACCCCAGACCCGCTGAGTCAGAATCTGCCTTTTAACAAGATCCCAGACAATTTGTGCACATGTTAATGTCTGAGAAAGGCCACCCTGCATCCTTCCATCTCTCACTCCTCCTGAGTTTATTGAGATTCCAAGTGCAAATTGCCAAGGGTAGCACAGGCAGCTGCTGGGGCGGGAGAGGCCGATGGCCTCCGGGAGCCAGGCGCACAGCTGTTTCAGACTCTTCCTCCCGCAGCTCCAGCATCTCGGCCCCTCCGGCAGGCTCCATCCCACGCCAGGCCACACCCCACCAGAGTCCTCCCCCTTCCCCTTCACTCGTGGGA